GGGCCAGGCCTCCATTCCTGTTCCTAATTGCCTCAGACTGGAGCAAATGGGGGACCCTCAATCCTAGCAGGCAGGCCAGGCTCTTCTGATGAAGGGTCTAGGCCCGAAACGTCAGCCTTTCTGCTCCTATGATGCTGCTTGGCCTGCTGTGTTCATCCAGCTCTGCACCTTGTTGTCTCGGATTCTCCAGCATCTGCAGTTCCTACTATCTCTCTCAGGCTCTTCCCTGTTGTGAATGTAGCTGATAAAGCCCTTGGCAACTTGAGGGCCTGAACCTGAGGGCTTGAATTGGTTGTTAATTGATGACATAAGGGCTTGAATTGGTGATGGGGTCAATAAGTTAATCCATGCCCAGGATGTAATTGCCATTTCGGCAAGAAGGGGGCAAGTACCTCTCTGGAGCTGACTCACCCACTTGTTGGTCTTTTCCAGAACATTCCTCACTTTGTCCAGAGAGGGGGCTAATCACCCCCAGGGCTGCAGGCCTACATCCTAACACAATGATGTTCCAATTTGAAGTGTACCACCGTAGAACCTTGTAGTCTCTTCTAAACCTGAGCCTTCACAATATCGGAGCTGTTTTTTCTGTATCTGAATGAATTGGAGCTGAAAGAATTGCTTGAAAAGGCAGAAGAAATTCCGGCAGATTAGCAGGGTTCTTGCCTGGTGGGTGGCAACTTGTTGGATTTGAACTGTACTGCAAGTTATTCTTTTCAAAATTACAATGCACCGCTTGAAGGAACACGTCATCAGAAGCACTCCTGTTCACTGCCAGCATGCATGTTGGATTTGACAAATCGGTAACAGCATACAAAGTGAGCACAAAGCAGTGAACTAGAATTTGGGACAGTGGATTCAATCTGGCGTTGTTGAAATTGAATCGGAAAAGGACCCTATAATCTATTTGTCCTAGTTTGTTATGATCTGCCTGTACTGCTCGCAAAACAAAGCTTTTCACTGTACTTAGGTACATGTGACTGCAATGAATCAAACAAACAAACAAAAACTGAAAGAACTGGGGATGCTGGAAATCAGAAACAAAAACAGAAATTGCTGGAAAAGCTCAAACAGGTCTGGCAACATCTGTGGAGAGAAATCAGAGTTAATGTTTCAGATCCAATATTGATCAATACTTCATCCTCGCTTTTTACCTGAAGAACAGAGTGTGACCAAATCTAGGGATGAAAGACAGAAACCTCTTTGAGCTTTTGTGTGTGGCTGCCTCGGTCAATTTAATTGGGAATCAAATTCAAAGATTAAAGCTTCACCAGACAAATAAATAGGCTTGGATTTGGTCTAATGTCTGAGTGAATTGATCTTGACTGAGGTGGCAGTGGTAATTTAACAATTTACTCGAATGTTTCTGGGAGGAGAGAAGAAAAATGAGCAGGGTTCCTTCTCTTGATCTCTGTCTAGCAACCACTGCTGAGCAATACACTTGTGGAGATGTTGTGGGAGCACAGATTAGGATTTGCCTCTTCAATGGGGCAAAGTGTGTCAGCTTCAGTGCCCTAGGCTCACTTATGAGCAGTTCTGAGTAAGCGTCACTGGATCTGAAACATTAACTCTGATTTCTGTCCACAGATGTTGCCAGACCTGTTTGAGCTTTTCCAGCAATTTCTGTTTTTGTTTCTGATTTCCAGCATCCCCAGTTCTTTCAGTTTTTGTTTGTTTGTTTGATTCATTGCAGTCACATGTACCTAAGTACAGTGAAAAGCTTTGTTTTGCGAGCAGTACAGGCAGATCATAACAAACTAGGACAAATAGATTATAGGTGCTTAGAGCGGGGCATACAAGGTTATGGCTGCATAGGAGGTGCACAAAGCAAGATTCTTAGAAATTAGGTTTAAAAGTGTGAAACAGTTATAAGAAACATGAGAATAAGATCTGCTGTAGAGAGCTCACAAAGAGTCGCTCAGCATCCGCGCTAGCTTCAATCTCCCTATGAGATTGTGCAATCACTGTCTTTCAGACTGAAAGGAGTAGACAGGGTTGAAGAATAGCAAAAGATGAACCAATTTTGCTATTCATTTGACGCTTGAGGTTTTACACACCTTTCAAAGCGATATTGCACAGATATATTAAGAAAAAGAAGTCATGGCCAAATCCTTAGATTTTTAAGTTGAAGTACAACACTGAAGCTGTTGCTATGGATAGGTTGTGAGTTTTACAGCAAATGTCTCTCACTGTCCTCACCAGAAGTAGACAGTGATTCAAGTTTTCTCTTGTTTTAAAAAAAGTACAGTGGGAACATAACTTCTGTACTCCCTCTGTGTGTGGACCCTAATTTTAGAATCATTGCAACAACACTGTTAAATTAGAAGGAGGGTTTTGTACACACTCTTAGATGTAAATGAATACTGCTCAGCACGGGCACATTTGCAAACATAGAAGGAGACGTCAAATCAGAAAGATAAGGATATTATTCAATTACCAACAATTTAAATAGAAGAATAACTAAGGGGCATCAGTTTATCATTGTCCTTGCTTTTAAAAGGGGGTCTAAAAGTCCAAAAACTGGAATTAGCAGTCTACAGTTCTTTAGTAGGAGTGC